TAAATTATCAAATTTGAATATTTTTTTGTATGCGGATATGAATTTTTTAAATAAAAATTTAATTCATAATAAAAACTTAAGGAAATATTTCAAACGATAGTAGATTGACATTGGATGTATCATCATTTAGATGATAATGGTTGTTTCATTGATGAATTCAAAATTAACGTGGAGTACTTCTTGGATTTTGCATTTTCCCAATCCAATCCAGAATTTTGTAGTAGAAATCGCATTAAGTATCTATGCAGGAAATGTATGAATGGTGAATGGTATCGTCATGTTATTGTTCAGTGTCATTTGATAGAGAAAGGTTTTATGAATGGATATGTAATTTGGCTTGCACACAGAGAGTAATTAGTGAGAAAGCAACGTCATCAGTGGAGGGAATCTTTGAGTGCAGCTCCTTTTGTGATGGAAGAACCAGGTAATGATCCAATTAGAGAGATGGTTATGGATGCAATGAGTTCACATGGTATAAAATATAATATGAATGATCAAGGCAGTGATCAGCCAATCTTTGAGGAGGCAATGGGATATACAAAGGAATTTTTCGATCTTTTGCAAGTTGTTAATACAGCACTTTATGAAGGATGTGATGATGGTGATATAGTACTCAAATGAGTGTCTCATTTTATGAATGCAAAGACACTTTATAATATGAGTGTGGCTAATTAGGATTATGTGTTAAAGTGTAGTAGGAGATGGATTAAGCCAGAGGATCGAGATAGGATTCCAAAAGATTTTTACAATGCTAAAAAGATGATGAGGCGCTTCAGTCTAGGTTATAAGAAGTACGATGTTTGTGTAAATAACTCTTTCTTATATTATGGTGAATATGAAGGCAAAAACTACATCACATGTCTAGTATGTGGTGAACTTTGTTATAAGCAGGCACATGTGCAGCAAAATCAATATATACCAAGGAAGTCATTGTGATACCTCCCAATTACACCTAGACTGAAAAGGTTGTACATGTGTAGAAAAACTGCTGAGCACATGACATGGCACCTTACTTGTGGTGGTGAATTGGAAAAGATTGTGCATCCTGTCAGTGTTGAGGCATGGAAACACTTTGATCGCACCTACCCTGACTTTGCATCTAATCCAAGGAATGTAAGGCTTGGATTGTGCACAAATGAGTTCACTCCATTTGGACATACAACAGCCCCGTACTTATGTTGGCCTGTATTTTTGACTGTTTACAACCTACCTCCATCAATATGTATAAAACCGAAATCCATCTTTCTTTCTCTAATAATACAAGGGCCTCAAAGTCCCGGAAAAAACATTGATATCATGCTTCACCCACTGATTGATGAATTAAAGGAACTTTGGTATAATGGGGTCCAAACATATGATAGTTTTAGGCATCAACATTTCATTATGAGAGTAGCACTTATGTGGACAATTACTGACTTCCCTGCATTTGGCATGTTATCTGGATGAAGCACACATGGTAGATTATCATGTCCGTATTGTCAAGAAAATTCTAAGGCATTTCACCTCCCAAATGGTCGAAAAATATCATTTTTGATTGTCATCGGTAATTTTTACCCCTTGATCATCCATTCAGAAAAATAGAAATGATTTTTAAGAAGGCCATGTAGAGAATCATGCTCCATTAGATAGATTGTCGGGTGATGATATGTTCCGACAAATTCAGCAGTTGATCGATATACTGTTTGGGAAGCCATCCCAAAGGCAGGTGATTGAAGGATTTTGTAATTGGCATAATTGGGTTAAAAAAAAGTATCTTTTGGGAGCTTCCTTATTGGAGCACAAGCTTAATCCGTCATAAGCTAAATGTCATGCATTGTGAGAAAAACTTTTTTGATAATATCTTTCACACCGTCATGGATGACTCATTGACGAAGGACAACTTGAAGGAAAGGATGGATATGGAACTATACTACAATAGGTCGAGTCTTTGTATACCAAAAACAAGCACTAATGCAGGTAAAAAACCCACAGCCACTTATGCCTTAAATAAGGAGTAGAGAAAATTAGTGTGCCAATGGCTAAAGAATCTTAGATTTCCTAATGGTTTTGCATCCAACATCTCTCGGTGTGTGAATATGCAAGAGGCGAAAGTTAGCGGGATGAAGAGTCATGATTGTCACATATTCATGCAAAGTCTCCTTCCAATTGCATTCCATGACTTTCTCCCAAAACAAGTTTAGGAAGCACTTACAGAGATCAGTGAGTTTTTCATAACCTTATGTTCTCCAGCCATTCGTGTTATAGATATGGAGATATGGCATATAAAGACTGTAGAAACAATAAGCCAACTTGAAAGAATTTTCCTTTTTTTTTTTTTTTTTTTTGATTCAATGGAGCATCTAGCAATCCACCTTCCATATGAA